AAAATTTAACTTTCTTGTCAACTAACCCATTCAGATGATTTATTTAAGTAGTGTTAGCTTTTTATATTCTATTACGCTAACAATATTTTATATGCTACGATGTTTCTTTTATTTTATTTTAATTATCATAATTTTTACTCTTATATTTTTCTCCCTTCATTTCTAAAAAATAATTTCGCATGATCTATCGAAAATAAGCTCTAATTAGGTATGCATCCCACCTTAAAAATCACTATTTCCTATTGAAATTTGGATTTTTTATTTATTGAATTGATGAGAAAAGGAAAAATAGTAGTGTTTTCAGACGAAAAATTAGAAAGCTTTCCAGTAGTATCTCAATGAGAATTTGTTTCTCGTTATGTATTTTTCTAGTGAACTGGTTCATGAGAAATGAGTAGAAAAATTATTTTTTATAACATAAGCTTCTCACTTATTTGTGGTGGGAGAAAATCTCTATTTTTAGACCCAACCCTATGTCTTAATTTTATTTGCGATATTATACTGAATATGTTATCGTTATTGTCCGGTAGTAATTTTTATGTTCGATGAAGTTTGTTGGAGATATCTTTTTGACACATTCACCAGCATGATAACAGCCTAGCAACAGTGCATACAAGCTAAGTTTGGACTTTGGTGTTACGTGAGGAATATTTTGTCTCATCATTAATCTCATATATAACAAAAATTTATTCTACTAATTAACTGCTCTGAACTGCATAACAACAAATGCATAAGATCTTTAAAATGATCTGGCTATTAATTTTTGGGTTAAGTACAATGATTTGCCAGTGTTTTTTTTTCTTCCATTTTTCTACTGCTACTTGCATGTGTCTAGCTAGCTAGCTCCACTGTGTACTGTAATTTAGAGGTGGCATAATTAGTGGATTAATTAAATTTTTTAATTATAAAAAGGACACATCTCGTAATTAATATTTATTTTTCTACTATTAAAATAAATATTGGAGTCGATTTCGAATAACTAGATGCATGAATTGAGTAGTTTAAGAGGTCAAATTGCCCCAACATACATGCATTGATATCGAAAACAAATTACGTAAATATCTGCAGCTGTACTTTATGGGCTCGAGAAAGAAATTAAAAAAAAAGGTTAATGGAGAGATTTAGTTTTGTGATTTTTTTTAATTTTATTTTTTTTGAGAGATTTTTATTTTTATACGAGATAAAGTTATTTTCTTTTATTTAGTTTGTAAGTGACCTCAATTCATTACATCAAAAATTGATTTTTAGCAATAAATAATTAACAATTGTCCCTAGTATATACTTTTGACGATATTGACACTTCATATTCCTAAAGGTTTTAGCGACACTTGATCTAATGACACTTAAATAATATCCATAAATACTTTAGCACTCTTTAATAATGTATCTATTTATTATCGCTAAAAGTTATTTTTGTTATAGTGACTAAACAGGTTGCACTAGTTGTATCAAAACTCCAGTGTAGACGTAGTTCAATGAGGATAAAAAAAAATAGGTGTACTAGCTAGCAGCTAGTTGTTCGATGACTTTAGTAGATTTTTGAAATGAATAATTTCTCATATGGATAGTCTATATTATACGGTCGTGAATGCATGTTGGTCTGTTAAAGTCCAATAAAAAATATATTATAAGACAATGTTGTGAAAATGCAAATGCTAAATGAATGTTTTGGTTACACTCCCTTCGTTTCTTTTTATTTGTCCATTTTCTTTTATTGTTGTTCCCAATTATTTGTCCATTTTGACAAATTAAGAAAGGATAATTTTTTTACCTATCATAATCTCAATTAAACTACTTATTACTTTGAAAAATGCAGAATTTTTCATGCACTTCATAATTAATAGGGATAAAATGGTAAATTCAGTACGTCATTAATTATTTTTCTTAATAGATATGTCAATTCAAAAGTGGACAAGTAAAAAAAGACGAAGAAAATATTAAATTAAATAAATATTAAAAATGATTATATTCATAGAAGGTTTAAGTGTAGCTAGTACACATTAAGGATAAAATGTGAGAAGATCGTTGAGGATGATTTGGACATGTACTTTATCAATCTATCGAGGCATCGATTAAACTATGGTACTAAGTGAAGGTTCTGAAAATTGGAGATGAGATAGTCAATAGACCTAAAACTTCATAGAAGGAAATGGTCTTTAAGAGACTTGGAATTGTGTTGTATCCATATCAATATAGACTAAACTAAAGATAAGATTTAATGAATTAAAGAAAATAATCTACATAGCTAGGAAACTGCTTTTAACATACTTTCTACTTTTATTACTTATTATTAATGATGATAATAATATGATACAAGCTTAAATATCATTAAATATTAAAATAAGAATTTAGCCGACTCCAATTTATTTGATACCATCGATACGTTGTAATATAGTTTCTCGCATGATCACTTGTACATCAAAATCATTTCTCTTTTGCTTTGCAAATACATGAACAAGAAACATTTCGTTTCGATGAAAAATTAACTTCTTTTTTTTTTCCATTTAATTGGTGAGGTTACAAATATATAATCGTAGCATTATAAATGAGAAATGAAAATTTGATTGCTTTTTTCTTTTTTGACAAGCACACCAATGAATTCCAATAGTATCATACATATGTATACTTCATATATCTTTTTCTTAATTTTGTGTAATTAATAATCTACCTAGCTAAACTAAACTAAAATAAAATCCAACAGATCGCATAAAAAAAAATTAAATGTAAAACACATCATGCTGCACTAATTCTAAATCTTGTTATTACCCTTTCTCTCATTGTTCTTGAATGTGCCAATACTTCATCCTTTCTATTTCTCTTAGGATTTAATAATTTTGACAAAAATCCTTCTTTTTTCTTCTTCCCAATACTATTATCTTCCAATATAATTCCACCTTCTTTTCTTCTCATAATCAAAGCCAATGATCTACTCTTCATGAGCACATTAGTGTTTGGAGATGAACACGAAGACACGTCTGAAGACGACGATAAAGAAGATAGAGAAGAAGAAGAAGAACAACATGAAGAAGTAACAATTGTTGTGTTACTTGTTGATGTTTTTGAAAGCAAAGAGAGTTTTTCACTAAGACAGACAGAACAAACCCCGGGATTTTGCTTGTGCTTAGGGTGCTTCTTGCAAAATATAATAGACTTGGATTTTGATTTGCTTTTGTTGATTTGCATTTGATGATCTCTAAAGTTCTTGAAAAATCTCCTTCTATTATTTTCCATGATTTTTTTGGTATATGTTCTTGGAAATGAAGGGGGTGTGTGGGGTATTTATAATTATTTGTTTAATAGAAATGAGAAAGGTTGGCAAATGAGGTTTCTATGATATTTCATGTGAGGTTCGTAATGAGGTTCATTAAAATGACTTTTTTGACAATTTTTTTTTTTTTGAAAAGTCTGGTTCATGGCCCAATATGCACGGCTGGAAAATTTGTGACAAGTTGAAAATTAGGAAAATGTGTTAAAAGAAAAGTGTTTAATTTTCGAATTCATTTCATTAACTATTAATATACACCCTTTTATATACGTATACTAACATGTCATAACTGATTAAATTACCATGCAATTACACAGACAAAGTTAAAAGTTTTATATAACGAATTTTGAATTTTATAACAATAATTTCAAGTGTTAATAATTGTATTCTAAACTTACTCTAAAAAAATTTAAGAAACTTATTTTTGTACATATTTGAGCAAAAGTTATTAGATGCTCGTTAACACCACCTCAGACAATCTAAAAAACTCTATATACCATCTTTATATAACTTAAATTCACAATGTAATAATTTTATTAAATTAGTTAAAAGATTATTAGGAATAATTATTTGAATACTAATTAGTAACTTAAAAAATAAAAAAAATATATTATTATTATTATTACAATACAATTTAGATAGATAATAGTAAGAAATTATATTATTATAAACTCCGAATGAATATAAATCACCAAAAATTGAATTATCGAGTCAAATCGAGAATCTCAATACTCGATGATTCAATACCCAATTCTCACAACGAGTATACAACTTTGTAAGTAAATCCATAACTGACGGGGGATATTGCTGAGTCGGTGACTAAAAGACATAAATCCATGTAGCTTTCTTACGTGGGACAAGCGTGGAAATTGACTCTCTTAATTCTACTTTGATTTTAGTTATATTTAATTAATACTACTATAGTACTAGTAATAAACTATGTATATTTTTGCGTTAAGTTAGACGATTATCCTTCTTGTATGACCACAAGAACACACTACCAAAATTCCTCAACTTGTATTTTTATTTTCATTTCATAATTACTAACATGAAATATGATTTTTTTTTCATTTTTCTTTTGTTATTGTTATTGTTATCATTTTCTGTTTTAAAAATATTTTAGAATTCAAATTGTCTAATCATCAATTACTTATTCCATTTAAAAAAGAACGACCTCTTTCTCTTTTAGTTTGTTTAATAGTCTAACTAAACAATTCTTTTGTGAAACGAAAGGAGTACTATTTACTGGGCCGGGTATGATTCTCAAGATTTTAAATCCCTTGGTTACAAAAAAAAATTTCATTCTCACTCTTGTTATTAGCAAATTATCTCTACTTAAACCTTGTCATTTACATAGCTCCCCGTATGAAATGGATGAACTCCACGTGAGGTCCAAATTTGCAAGTGCCTTTGTCTATATTTCGAGAAAATATATACATAGAGGACTTCAGATTAAATTCATTCTGTAGAGTTATTTTCAATAAAACAATACATTGGTGTAAATGGAATATTTGCAAAAGAAGAGCACAAGGCACCTACCATATCACGCCTTGTATCTTTTTTGTAGAAAAGGTTGTGCCTTTAAGTATCTTATTTGATGTAATCTAATCAGCAATGATACTTTTGTTTAAACTTTGAAGCTGCAAAAATTATTCCTCCTACTACTGCCAGTTATTCCAACATACTGATATTATTCCCATCCTAACAACCTCGCCGTTTTCTGGTCCAAGGGGGGTATTCAACCAAACTAGTTTAATCAACATAAAGAATGTAGATACAAAGGCATCAAACAAGAGTGATCATGTCACCCATGACATGTTTAGATGAAAAAGACGAGTACCTAAAAAGGAAAAAGACAACTTTTTTATCCCAACAAAAGTAGACGTTGTAGAGGTGTGCAAGAATGGATCAAACAAGTCGTTGATTTCATATAAAGCTAGAAAATGAACACAGAGAAAACCTAAATATCATTGAAGAGGGAGAGAAGTGTTCATCATTTTTCTCCTTTCTTTCTTATTTTGCTGATTTGTTTGCCTCCGTACTTGCACTTGTAGTTCCTATTGGGCATTGGGATACATATGGCTTCAGCTGAAAAAGAAAGAGAAAAGAGAGGAATTTTTCAACAACGAGGTTTTATAAACTTCCGCAGAAACAAAGTAAATGAAAAAGTCACACAAGTTTCATAAACATTCTCTACGATCTAGTGAACACTAACTTTTTCTAACACTAGATAGAGTGACTAGTTTCTTTTACCTAAAATTATACACAATGTTTTTTCTTTATGGAATTCTGTATATTCAACGATAATTTCCAGAGAAGCTGAGACGAGGAGCACAATCTTGGAAAATAGTGGAAAGTGAACTCCCTCCAATATTGAATGCTAAGAGGAGAAAACACAGCAGCACCACAGAACACAAAAAAGTGTAATCCATTTTGGGGTATGCTGAAAAGTCCAAGCCCTAATCCATGGGCTAGAAATTGCTAGTTCTGACCTACCTCTAGCACTATTTGTTTCAAATTTCAAAAGACTTGGGAGGACAAGATCAAAGTGATGGAATTACCCAAAGAATGTATAATATTCGATACTTTTTGGACAAAAAGAAAGTGAATGGATGTAAAGACAAATCAGAAGAAGGTGGTGATCTAAGCAAGTGCTGGCCGGTGGGCCTAACGGAAATCACAAGTGACAATGTATTTCCTGGAAAGGACTGGAAGTTATGTACACAACTTTCTTTTGATAAATAAAAAAGAGTTCACTAATAATACACCAAGATAGTGTTATCTTGACAGAAAGTGTCTTGTAAAAGTTATGAAACTGGCTACCTCTAGCTGACCAATGTATTTAGCATTTACATCATTATCTACTCTTTTAAGGCTGTTGGCTCATCTAAGATACGCCAAAAGAATAAAGGTAGAATGAATGAAATAGAACAGCTGTTACTTTATAACCCGATTCCCTATTGACTATAATCTAGCTCCAAATTTATATACTTTTCTTACTCAATGCATGGATAGAAATACAGTTGGAAGTGAGTGATTTCGGTTACTGTGAACAATAGAAATTATAATTAGTAAATACATCTATATCATATCTACCCTGTAAGGCTTTTAGCTCATCCAAGATGCATCATGGAAAAAGAATAAAGGTAGGAACTAGTGAAATAACAAATATATGCTTTGATGACCAGATTCCAAATTGACTACAATCAAGTTTTAACTTCATATACTTTTCTTAATTATCTCTTGGATAGAAATAAAGCTGAAAATGAGTGATTCCAGTATTGTGTGAACAACAGAAATGATAATTAGTTTTTATACATGACTGATCTTTTATATACTGGTTTGTATAATATCACTAAGACCTTTTGTGCAGAAACAAGATAATTGCTTCTCCAAAATTTAAAAAATAAAAAAAGGAAGAAAAACTAGAAGAGTAATGAACAAATTGCAACATACACGTCCAGCATAACATAAAGAATTGTTTACACACAGAGATATTCTACACAAGATGTTTTGAGGATAGGAGTTCAGTACAGAATATTAATCTAAAATGCATTTTGCTTTTCTGTTTTTGGTGCACTAAACTGTATTCTAGTGACACTGAATCAATCCCAGATGTCCTAGACACCACTTAGGATTGATTTCATATCTGGTATATTCTGTACCTATTCCATTTGAAAATGGTTTTTTCAGTACACCTAAATACTGGTTTTAATACAAAGTTACCTTACTAAAAAAAAAGATATTCTACACAATTCCATCTCATCGCCATATACAGAACAAGCTGCAAGAATTAGGATATCACCCATCCAAAAGTTCGAGACTAAGAGACATAAAAACTCCTAAGTGTCCTAAGAAGAAACGCAGTCTGTGGCACCTGTCAGTAGAATGTAGCAGTATTTACAGAAGTTGTTATCCTTCAGAATATATATTTATGCTACAGAACAACCTTTGACCTTTCTCTCTTCCACATTTTTTTTTGAAACTAAAACAAAATATGGGAGAGAGAAAGGTAAAAGAACAAATTAATGTGAGTAAGTTTCTACATGACATCTTATAGATTATGAAAGACACGATAAAATTAGATTTTGAGCCTGATCGAAACATAAGTCTAATATAGCAAGTATTTGGGAAAATTACTGATAGAACTTTTTTTTTCATTGGCAAAGGCAGATCCTGATCCCCGCAAAGTAGGGGTAAGGTCTGCGAGCGCCCCCCCCCCCCCCCTTCCCATTTAAGATCCCATTTGTGGGATCACACTAGGTATGCTATCGTTGATGTAAAGGCAGATCATAATCCAGGAGCAGGAGGTACAGTCAGTGTATTCGGAGTGTTAACTGGGTTGGGAGAAAATACACTGGGTAAATGCTTACCCGCACCGAGTGTTTACACCAAACCAATAAATGCAAGACGCATGTCTTTCACATACATATTTAACACTTAACCAAGGTTAATGTATTTTCCCATACTTGTTAACCGTGTAAGATTAACTTTATTTGTTTGATGTAAACACCCGACGCGGATAAACTTTTACCAATACACCGACCCGTTGCTCCAAAAATGATTGGTGCTCTGCCCCTACTTGTGGGCTGCACTTTTAAGACCTATTACAACTCTTAGGAGTAGTTTGGTAGATAACAAGTTAACTCGGAATAATAATATGGAGATTAAATAATACAGGATTATTCAGTGGGTATACTTCTATTGTTGGATTTTTGGTTCATTGGAATAAAAATGGGATATTGGCAGGTGCAGTCTGTGTATTCGGAGTGTTAGTTGGGTTGGGAGAAAACCAGTGGTAGATACTTACCTGCACCAAGTGCTTACACCAAATCGATAAATGCAAGACACATGTCTTTCACATACATATTTAACACTTAACCATGGTCAAGTGATATGTATTTTCTCTTAAATGTGAACTGATAAGGTTTACTTTATTGGTTTAATGTAAGCATTCGACGTGGATAATTTTTTACCAATACACTGCACCCATTGCTCCCTGCAAGCATAGATTTTTCACTGGAGAAATCCTTCCATTTTGTTATGTTTGGAAGGTCTCCTGATACTTGTATAGACTTAGCACCAGCTTGTTGTTGGGAAATTTCTCCTTTCAATATACTAGCTACTTACATTGTCCAAAAAAAAAGTACTATTATCATTATCATAAACAGCCTTTTCAAACTATAAACTATTTTAAGCTAGATGGTCTGATAGCCAATTACTAATTTAAGACAGCATTGGAACAAAATATAATTAATAGAATTCAGGCCTAGTTACGAAAGAGTCGAGAGGAATCCGACTTGTTGGACCCCAAAAGTTTGAATAGGACTTGAAGTCCATTGAGGGAGATAGGACTTATGTACAAACCTATTCTAGTTGGTTCTGCAAGATTCTGTACATTTGGGCAAGCATTGAATTGAAAGAGATAAGGGGAAAGAAAAGCACATTGGACCCACTTCGCTTCAGTTTCCTAGATCTTTTATTTGTCAAGAACTACTTAACTATAGATGATTAAATCCAATAGCAAGACATCCTAAGAACATATGAACACAGAGGCAACTGCTTTCAAATACTAAAATCAGAGATTCCCTCATTAAGGCTTACTTACACAAGAGTGAGAATGGGATGAGGAGGAAAGCGGTTTGTTTGCTCTCTTTCTGTCTGCTTGATTTCCCTTGCAGAAGAAAGAATCTTGGAATGGCAAAAACGATAAAGAGATCAAAAGAATACAATCAACTTGCTAAGTTCTAGAACGTAAAACGGGCTAAGACCAGAGGTGGAAACACGGGTAAAAAAGGAATGAAACCATATGGCCTCTTTTAATTTTAGCAAATTATTTACAAAAAACTCCGAACATGTTTGGAGTGGCTTAAAAGTTGGTCAAACCTACTTGTAAGTCCTTAGTTTTTTAGAGTGTTTGGCAAGGTTAAAAGTAACTTAAAATAAGTTCAAAATGACTTGAAAAAGTTATAAACCAAAAGTAGGACTCTCCTTACTTTTTTATTTTTTGACTTAAAAAAGCTACTTTTTTAAAAGCCAATCCAAACAGGGCTCTCACTCTTGATCAGTGTTATCAAAAGTGAAACTCGCAAAAAAGCTACAAGGTCCTTTGGGGCTTTAAGCAAAAAGAGTGTGGCCTCTGATGAGAAAAGGCACAAATGGAGAAAAACTTCAGATATGTCTGCCTCGTCGAAGGTTAATAATCAAAAGCACGAAATAACAAGTATATGGACTAAAAATTTGGAAGAAAATATGATGAAGTGAAATATCAGTTGTTTAGTATCACATCTTCAGCATTACACTCATTGACAAGGTAAAGTATGTCTTCGAGACAAAGCACCCATTAAGCTAGGTGAACCGCTCAACATGTAGTAAGACTCAATTTATGGCTTAAGTGCACCTTTGACAAAAATACTCTTTGTGAATGTAAATGGGAACGTGAATTCAAATATCAAGCTGAAAGGCTGGAAGATGAGCAATTGAAAAGTACATTGATCAGAGAAAATATGATTAGTCAAGAGTTCAGTCAATGTTAAGTACCTTGAAGTCGGTCAAATCTGGAACTACGTAGTTAGGCAGCTTCTCTTGCACAATAACATAACCACCTGGAACAAGAAAGAACGATCTAATATTAGTAATAAACTTAGATGTCTGTCTGTTTCAATGTGACTTAATTGTTGATTCTTTTGACGCTGGAATATTTAGCTTTCAAAGAGAAGGAATTCGGTAATTCTACTTCTTTATCCTGGGTAAATTATGAGACAAGCATGGTCTGGGCCAAGTGAACAAGAAATATAAAGCCCCTAAGCTGTAGCCTAATAACTTGTCAGATGTTGATACTACAACCACATAATCCTTTTACATAAAGCTATAGAAAACCTGTTTCAAACAGGGAGAAAAGACAAAAGAATAGCACTCCTAGTTCACAATACTTGAATAGAGGTTTCAAACCTTTGCGAGTGTGAAAACCAGTAGGCTTGCAATTTTTTCCCTTGTAGAAGCCCCGAGGAACCTTTTTTGTTGTAAGAATATCAAGAGATGAAGTACGCTTTCTTCTGAAAGATCTCCCTAAACCTAATAACAGTCCCAGCGGCATTATATAGTCTTCCAACTAAAGAATTGTGCCTAGAGACAACATAATACAAAGAAAAAATGATATTATATATTTGCATAAGATCAAGATTTAATCTTTGAAGTTATAAGCAACTTTTGCTTTTTAACCCTTAATTACTGGTTTTTCTAAATTTATCATTTTTTTGGAAAAAATTGACATTATATCTTTGCATCTGATCAAGATTTAACTTGAAGTCATGATCAATATTAACTTTTTAACCCATTATCACTGTCACGGCAATCTATTCCTCCAATTATCACCCCAATATCCTGCGGCAAAGATAAATAGCATGTCACGAGGAAATATGGAAACAAGGCAAATCCAGAGGCAATGCCAGGAATTTTAACAAAGGGATTAAAAAAAATTCAAATACCTAGAATCTTCTCTTTTGTTATGGGTATAAATTTGTTTTTTCCCTATTTATACCATGTATTTTCGGATGAAAGGGATATAATTGAACCCCCTTACTTATCTTTAGCTCCGTCAGTGGGCAAATCCCTGGTGCTAAACACACAGCTAAGGAAAACCCCCTCTTCATCTCCTTACACTATTCTACACTTGTGATTGAACCTTATTACAGATCCTGTCATTTATAAATAGTATTTGCACATTTGAATATGAATTACAAATCTACAAGTTTACACTATTCTACACTTGTGATTGAACCTTATTACAGATCCTGTCATTTATAAATAGTATTTGCACATTTGAATATGAATTACAAAAATCTACAAGTTTACACAAGTCTAATTTGTTCTATTCTAATAGAACTAACTTTAACTATTTAGCATCCTTCAAACAATACTATGAACATAGCTATACTTTGCACATCACAGAGACCCCATAAATTGAGCTTTCTAAGTTAGATTTCTTACTTTAAAAGAAAAATACATAAACCTAAAGGCACAGTATAGAATTTCACGAAAAATAAAATGCATTGTGAGAAAAAATCCAGATATTTCTTGCTTACAAAACAGTATATATCAATAATCAGCCATTATTTTAAGCTCTACAGCATATAAATTAGAATTCAAGTAAAATAAAATTACCAGTATCTGCTCAAGAGGATGCTTGCCCAGTTGGTAAGGCTAATAATTTTAGTAAATCGGAAAAAAAAACTTCAGAAATGGTCATATTCTTTTACATGTACCAACACATCAGAGGTATAAAAACGTACTGTATACTAACCAACTCACTGATCAGTCCCTAACTAACAGACAGAATAGACAGAACTTCCATGGTAGAGGATACTAGCAACTGACTAACAATAAGGAGAGCCATAATGATATTGTTTCACATTAATCCCCAATGTACAAGTACCCTTAGTTTATACTACAATCAAGCAGCTAAACTGTTAACTGACTTAATTCCCTATAACGAATTAACTATATGTTGTTACATACTTACGTTTACAGGGTATGACAACTACAACTTACAAGTACATCCCTCAATACTGACTACTCATCTCATATTTGAAATGAATATAACATATATAAAGATTTGTAGATGAATTTAAGGCTTAAGACGCGATGAGCAGTGGCCAATGAGCACTGACCTTGGACTTTCGAGTCGCGAGCACTCGGCGAGGAGCCAGGAGCAGCGGCTGGCCTGAGACTTAAAGAGACAACGGACGACGAGTTGAGAGATGAAAGACGAGCTGCAGCGTAAGTCGTAACTGAGACGAGACCTGACGAGTGCTGAGAGACGAGAGTTGAAGTGGTCTGTGTTAGGTTTCTGATTGGAATGTGGGCCTAAGTTGAATATGGGTTGTGGGTTATGGGCTGAAAGAATAAGGAAATAGCCGTGTAGGATTAATTACGCAAATCCCACCTTTTAGTTAGTTTATTTATTATCATTATTCCCTATAAGTTTTTACTAATTTTTAATATTTATCATTTTCGTGCATCACATGAATATATCTCGCATATTATATTAATGTATCTCGAGCATCACATTAATGTATCTCGAGCATCACATCAATGTATCTCGTGCATCAGATTAGTATATCATGTACAAAATGTACCTCGCGTATCATATTAGTGTATCTCGCGCATCACACTAATGTATCAGTGGTTACATTGTTGTATCAGTTTTGAAAGATTTTTGTAATTATAAAACATGTAACTGATAAATTGTAATTTTACCTTTAAAGTATGTGATTTCTGTAATTTGCCCATGATTATATTTTGGTTTTTTCGATTAACCAAATTCGTTAGCTAAAAACCGAATAGTAAACTAAAATATTGAAAATTGAAACCGAACTAATCGGGAACCTATTTTTTTAAAAAAAAACGACTCAATAGGTTTTTTCGATTTTAACTATATCATGTGCAGGCTTACTAGTTGGAATAACCGAGAAGACAACAACTATTGGGTTTTAATAGTGTGGGCTATTGAGAGAAAAAAGCCCAAAAAATGGGAATGTCACATGTTTTGAGTGGATGAAATGGACCTGGTAGAGAGGCCCAACAGAAAGAAAACATTTTTACTTGGGCCGTTGAGGCCTTGTACATAAACTATCATGTGTGACGTTATAGTAACTATTTTGTGTTTTAAAATTTTGAATTTTTTTGCGCAAAAACTCTTCAATTTTTTTTTGGGAGAACGCCAAATTATAAAAAGAAGTTTTTTAAATGTGTTTGAATCATGCTGTTAAGGGGTCGTTTTGTAGCTATAGTTAATGTTGTTGGGTTATGGGTCTTTTTTTCCTTCCTATGTGGATAAATAAAAGTCCAATTTGGACCAATCCATTTTTGCCCATAGGCTCATTCTTATGAGGCAAATATAAGCCTATTTAGGTCTTATTTTCAAATATACAGAGAGTTTTTTAGCAGCCAAAAGAGAGAAAGAGAACAGTTTTTTCGCAGTCAAAATTCAGCCCTAACAGCCAACTTCAAATTGCGATTCCCGCTTCGTTTCTTGTCCGATTGAGCTGATTTTTGGACAGCATATTATCTTCATCTCAATCTTTGATTAGGAACTGACAGAGTTGGATTTGGTGGCCTGCAGCTTCAGTTTTGCTGTCGTGAATAGTAGCTGCGAAATTGGTGATTTTGCTCCTTTAATTCTCTAGATTTTGTGCAATCTTATTTTGTTGTTGCTCGTTGTTTGGCCACTTGTTTTGTGGCCAATTTTGGAGAACAATATTGTAACTCTTGGTGATTATAGTGGAGCTTTTGGTCCCGTGGTTTTTTACTCTTCACATCGAAGGGTTTTCCACGTAAATCTTGGTGTCTTGTGTGATTGGTTTATTATTGTCTTGTTATATTTGTTTGGTTGAATTACTTGCTGCCTTACTATCATATTGCTTGTGGTTGTTTGTCTTCTCTTGGTTCAAATCGAGAAGGGAAAGTATAAAACTTAGGTATTCTTCCGCTGTTATCCTGTCAGACATTCTTTGTTAGTGCCTTGTCTTTCCCAACAAATGTAGGAATTAGTTATAAGAGAATCTATATATTATTTTATGCAAGTATTAATAATACAAGTATCTATCATGTATTAAATTATACATAGATTTTCTTAAATTTTAAGTTACGCAGATTTTCAAGTTGCAAATCAAACACTATATAAATCTTACGTCGAATTTAATATCTACATAACTCACTTCTAAAAACAACTATCAAACGACCCCTAAATCTATCAAACTCAAACTTAGCATGATTCGAACCCCTAAATTCATGAATACATGCCACCAACAAAATGCACCTCAAATCCAAACGTAAAATTTAAATTGGAATGCAAACAAACAAGAAAAGTTAAAGTATTTTCTTTTGAATAACTCAGTTCACATTGCATAGATTTTATCATTGACTTTAGTACATGTGAATTTAGAAGAAAACGTCAACATCGACCTCGATCTACTTCATATAATTAAAAGTAAAGATTTTATTATATTTGTGTTCTTTTGCCTTCATGAAACACATGTTTCACGCTGAAAATTAATTGAATGTCAGTTTGACCATAACAATAAAAAATTAAGAAATAAACAAAAATATACACATTTTAAATTAACGATAAATAAGAAGTTTGCTAGAAGGTTCACATGACTAATGCACAATAAAACAAAAGAATATGAGTGATCAGTCATTAATAACTTTAACCTATAATGATCTAAAGGGTTGTTGGGTTTGAAAACTAAGTTATACAAAAATTATTAATATAAAATAATATATAGATTCCTCAAACAAAATTAAGTAATAGGACATTTAATTATATTATCAATAACCCAATTATCTCTAAATGCAGATTGTTAATGAGTCTGGTCAATTCAATCGTGAAGCACCACTTTAGAGAGCAAAATAGAATTATTAACCTGCATGTTTTGATAAATTCAATATATTTTGATATTTTATTCGATGTTTGACATCGATGCTTCTTACGTAGACATTGTAGAAACTATGTTTAGTAAACTTTAAAGGATTGTAATACTAGTGACTACATGATAAACTATTTTAAACTAATGGATATGTCACATCACTGCTCAAGCATTATAAATTTCGGTTTGTATTATTTATTATTACGTACGTTGCGCGAAAAAAAAAAAGTTAGATAAAATTGGAAATAACGTGTGTTGCTTTGTTTACCGTTCTAAGGAATAAATTATCAGAAATATACATAACATATACACGCAAATAAATATTTTAACTTTGAGAGTTTATATATAGACGCTTTTAACTTGATACTCATCAATAATAACTCAATGCTCCAACTCATTCTTATTGAGACCCCTGAACAATTGACACTGATGTGATACATAAATTTAAGAGGTGTCTAAATATATTTTTTTATAATTAAAATTGAAGATCATGAATTAAAATATTTAAATATACACGTTCAAAATTAAAATACTGATTTATTTATTAGTAGAAAACAAATTTGAATGTCTGTTACGTTAGTATGTTATGGCAATAAAAAAAAGTGAAACATTGTCAAGAGCATTAGTCAAAAAGAGATAAATTCTGGCAAAGTATGCCTTTTCAAATTAAATTATACAGAAAATCTATTGAAATCAGAGCGGGGAGAAAAATAAAAGAGAAAACTGTTGAGTGCTTTTTGAAAAATGGAATAATAAAGGTTATATTGTATTATGATAATTTGCTCTAATTTCTTCCACACTGAAAATTATAATTTGGCAAGTTCGAAAAGTTTTTTTTTCTTTCTAGAGCCGTTTAATTATAAATAAGTTATTTCAAAATTATTTATTTCGTATTAAGTTATTCCATCATGTATATATATAAAATAACTTATCATATCATTAAAGTAAATTGATTAATTAAATAATCCAAAAATAACCCAATTTCTCTAACTAAATACAAAATAAGATAATCATATATTTTATTTTAATATTATTATTTCTTATACCTTAGACTCCTTATGGTAGTAATTAGTTAACAGAGAAAACCTTTTCTACGGTATATATATCAGTTGGTTAAGTATTAAATCGAGAGAAATAATAAATAAAGTTAAATTAGTTTATTTATTCTGTAGTTACTATTTTTATTGAGTATGCAAAACATGACACGTAAATGAACTTTTCTCATTTTTTTAGTCACAAAATAAAATGATGTGCAGAATCGGTTTCTTCATTTTCCTAGTAATTCTTGCTTCCATCTAATAATTGTTTACTATATAAGCTGAATTGATTAAGCAAGGATATTCATGGAGTCCGGAGCCTAAAGGGTAAAAAATGTTAACAAAAATTTC